TTATGTTATGTTATGTTATGTTATGTTATGTTATGTTATGTTATGTTATGTTATGTTATGTTATGTTATGTTATGTTATGTTATGTTACTCTGTAAAAGTTCTCTATTAGAACAGTTTGCCCTCGCCTCATTGGCGGGAGAAATAAAGAAAACGATGGAACGCTCGGCAATACTGCGTTAAAAACAGCTGCTGGACGTGGAGGGGCAAACTTTTCATGTCATATTCTGCATCAATAACTGCTTTTTCCCGCTTATTCGTTAGCTTCAGTAGATAATTATGGGAAAAATTTAGATTGCGACACAGATCGAGTTGATCACATATACTTACCTGGAAACGACACACCGCACCACCAGAGGCACAGGTGCAGCTGTAGACTGTACTGATACATTACAGTCTACAGCTGTACACTGGTACAGCCTGTACTCTGGTGACTGGTACAGTGTACTGTGACTGTGCCATGGCCCAGTACACAGTATCAAGCACAGTGCTTGGAGAAACCGACAAAATGTTACAATATTACAGCAAACTGTTACAATAGGCTGTTATAGTAAATATGCGTTAAATTACACCAAAATGTAACAGTATTTAGTAAAGGGAGGAAGAAAACAGTATGTAACAGCATGAATGGGTGGAAGAGGGGGCAGATGAGGAGTAAGCGGGGCTGGGGCCTGCGGGGGTGTTATGAGGTGTTATATCGCACCCCATGAGGTGTTATCTTGCACCCCATGATGTGTTATCTTGCACCCCATGATGTGTTATCTCGCACCCCCATGAGGTGTTATCTTGCACCCCATGAGGCGTTATCTTGCACCCCATGAGGTGTTATCTTGCACCCCATGATGTGTTATCTTGCACCCCATGAGGTGCTATCTTGCACCCCATGATGTGTTCGTTATCTTGCACCCCATGAGGCGTTATCTTGCACCCCATGAGGCGTTATCTTGCACCCCATGAGGCGTTATCTTGCATCCCATGAGGTGTTATCTTGCACCCCATGATGTGTTATCTTGCACCCCATGATGTGTTATCTCGCACCCCCTGAGGTGTTATCTTGCACCCCATGATGTGTTATCTTGCACCCCATGAGGTGTTATCTCGCACCCCATGATGTGTTATCTCGCACCCCACGAGGTGATATCTCGCACCCCAATCGCACCCCATGAGGTGATATCTCGCACCCCATGAGGCGTTATCTCGCACCACAAGAGGTGATATCTCGCACCCCATGAGGCGTTATCTCGCACCACAAGAGGTGTTATCTCGCACCCCATGAGGCGTTATCTCGCACCACAAGAGGTGATATCTCGCACCCCATGAGGCGTTATCTCGCACCACAAGAGGTGATATCTTGCACCTCATGAGGTGTTAAAAAAGCGTACGGTTTTACACCCAAAAAACGTACGGTCTTACAGTTTACGCGTAAAAACTCGAGGAAAATTAAAGCAGAACCATATAAATATTAATGCATCTCGAAACTCATTCAAATGTTCAAGTAATGTAATTTAAATGAGGCCAAGACGACTGACGTTTGTTAGTAAGACGTAAACTGGCATCGATAGAACTAGCAAAATTAAAATAAATATATGTACTATTAAATTTTTGACAGAAAATTCGGGAATGTAATTAGAATAATATTGAAGTCTACATTGTGCAATACTTCTAAAATAGGGACGATAGCTGCTCCCACAGAAAAGCGAGTAATATGAAACAACGGAATGGAAAATTATTTTAAATCTACGATGTATATATATGAATGAAACTTATTTTTTAAAATGCTTCTCTTTAACTCCACTTCTTGTTTATCTTCATGTCTGTCTGCTACAAATCTTATAAAAGATTTTTAACACACTTCTACCTCTCCAATCGATCTGAAATTTTGCACACCGGTGTAAAGTTGGAGACAATGCATGAATCAATTGTCAAAATAAATAATTTTAAAATATAAAAAAAATTCAATGTTAAAAAAATTTAAAAAACAATTTTGTCTGCTACAAATTTTATAATCGATGTTTAACACACTTCTAGCTGTCCAATCTATTTGAAATTTTGCAGACTTGCGTAAAGTTGGAGACAATGCGTGAATCAATTGACAGAATAAATAATTTTGAAAATTTATTTTCTTTTATGTATTAAAATTTTATGTAAAAAATTATTTTTTTAATATTCGAAATAAATATTAGAAAATCACTGTAAATGTTTACATTGGAGTCATTGGATTTTTTAGAAGTGCTGTCTTTAAATAGTAATTTTTAAACGTATAGCTATTATTTACGTTATAGGGAATCTAGTTTTATAACGAAATTTTTACTGTGATGTTAGTTTATTCAATGATATAAGGTTGGAAAGCCCTGGTAATTAGGACATTTACATTTTATTGAAAGAATAAATGGCGGCGAGGTTATTTTACTATTGTTATTTTAAGGGAAGGTTAACTGAATATAAAGTTCATAGTTTATAACTTAGGCACTTCAATTTCATATTGGGCTCAAGTTGAGGCGAAGTTGGCATTTTAAATTTAGTTGTGGTGAAAAGTTGATATAAAGTTGCTCAAATCAATCTTCTAATGGGGAAAAGTTGAGATCCTTGATGAAGTTGACAGTGAAGGCAGGATGGTAGGATCGGTTGGTCTCCTTTACGTGGATGGTCTTGCTATAAATCGTGACAGGTTCAACTCTGACGAACTTGTAACCTGCGCACGCCAAGCCCTCGAAGATCTGAGCACAATAATCACCAACACAATTCAGTAAGGAATATTATTGAATGAATTGCACCAGCATATGGTGTATGTTCATCATTTAATTGTTAGAATTAAAGTTATAATTCAGTTAAGTAAAGTTTTATTTAGTTATTAAATTTGTTTAATTAAGTTAAAGTTAAATTTGTTATATATGGTGCTTTGCTCGAGGACGACAATTACGAGTGTATGGCGTCAAAACAAACATTGTACACGGATTATTCGTTTATGAATTTACACTCAAATATTTCATCTAACGAAACTTATTGCGCTTTGTCGCTAATTTATGGTGCAAATTATCTGTTGCTAGCGTTAAATTCTAACGATGAATTACCTTGAAGGTACAATGGAAGCATGCACGCAACTGCACATATTGTCTAACCTAGTGTGTAACACAAAAATCACAAAAACTTTAAATTCGTGATTTCAACTATATTCATTTGCATTCGTCAAAATAGTTCATTACAACACTTCTCTTTAACTTCACTTCTTGTTTGTTTGTCTGTCTGCTACAAATCTTATAATCGATATTTAACACACTTCTACCTGTCCAATCGATCTGAAATTTGGCACACTTGCGTAAAGTTGGAGACAATGCATTAATCAATTGACAGAATAAAGAATTTTATAAATAAAAAAAATTCTCATTATTAAAAAAAATTAAAAATTAATTTCGTGCTAGGTACAAATCTTATAATCCATATATGACACAATTTGACCTGTCAAATTGAACTGAAATTTTGCACAATTGCATACAGTCAGACAATGCATGAATCAATTGACAGAATAAATAATTTTGAAAATTCACAAAATTTTGATATCTTAAAAAAATTGTGAAGAATATTTTTTTTTCAATATTTGAAAATAAAATTAGAAATTCATTGTACATGTGTAACATCCAAGATACTGGATTGTTCAGAAGTGTTGTCTTGTAAAAGTAATTTTTAATTGCATATTATTTTAACAATATAATCACCGATTGCCATCTTCATTCTATTAAGGTACAGTTCTCTTTGGTCATTGTCCATTTCGTTGTAAAGGAATGAAGAGTGTTTCTTAAGTGACCCTATAGGCTAACGATGTAAACTACATAAAAGTTTTATAACTGAGATGAAAAAGGCTCATTCTTATGGGATCAAATAATTGGCCTGAATATATAAAAAACTACAGTGGTTTGATAGATTTTAATAAAGTAACATGTTACAGTTTCATTTTTTGTAGATGAAATTTCATTATGTAAATGAACCCACCTCGTAAATTTTACGGAACTCGTCGGTGTCATCTCCCCATGGTAAACTCAGAACCACAGCAACCTTTAAATGAAAAATAAGAGAACGGTTATGAAATTGCGCTCAAATAATGAATGGTCTGGAGTAACAACACAAGGCTATTCAGTATTGCAAATCTTAGTATTATAATATCTTAATTTATATTATTTATCCATTTTTTATTATTATTCTCGTCATAAGTTGAACTCTCGGAAATCCTTTTTATGAGGAAACCAATAAAATCAATCATCGGCTTGCGATGTTAATAAACAATCGTTGAACAGACGACGATGGAACGACAGCTATATCAACGGTAGTTACATTGAATTAATGTCGAGCCCAATACAAGTAAGCTAGAACCAGGTAATGATTGAAGCAATCACCTATAACATGACATGGAATAAGCAATCAACAATCACACCAAGCTGCACTCGATTGCTGGAATGAGGCTACCGTCATACTTGTAACTTTCACAAGTGTTTTATACGTAGCAGCCCCAGACCACGCTGGAGGCTCGCCACACCATCACAATTCTATTATTAGTTATTTATTTATATTATTAATTATTTGATAAACATATTTCCACCGAGATCTCCTTTGCGAACTCATAATATTTTGCCTGTGAAGAATTACCTGTCTAATGTCAACCTCGTTCCTGAATTTGACGATCTGCTTCAGAAGCAAATTTCCCAAGGAAAGAATGTCGCTCTTGACGAATTTAATTTCTTTTCGCTCATGGGCAAGACTTGTGATAATGAAGTCCAGTGGTCGGTATTGGTTAATTTTGTGGTAAAGATGTCGTCCAAAGACCGTGTCGTCGTACCGAGACTGGACGTCCACTCTTTCGACAGCGGGGGGGGGGGGCGCTAGAGATTCACTGGGGAGCCAAGGGGGGCGCCAGTCTGAAAAAGTTTGGGAACCACTGGTATAATGTAATACGTGAATATTTCGGAGATGCGCAACATTTTGTTATTTATCAAGATTATCGGTTCCTATTTCTTTAACCTTAAACTGGCTAAGAAATGGTGAAGAAAGAAACATACTAGATATTAGTTTATAAAAATAAGGAAAATTTACCTCGAGAAAGAATAAAGAAGGAGGATATTTAATTTTTTTAATCGCATGCAATCAATTAGTAAAAAGAAACGCTGAAATACATGTACCTTTTTTCAATTGCCCTCAGAAGGTTGTTAAAACTCAAAACAAAATACCTGTCAATTTAGCCACAATTTATTGAGGTCACTAAATAACGGCGTAGATGTAATAGCGCACCTTGTAACTGACTATGAGTTAATAACACACGAAGGGTGTGATCATTTTGCAATAAGAAACCTTGTAACTGACGACAGGTTTATGTAGTGACGCATCTTGTTTGTAACGATATGGTGTATGTAATAACGCACCTTATAACTGACTGAGCTTTTATATTATAACGCAAGAAAGGTATAATCATTTGTAATAACGCACCTTGTAGCTGACAAAGGAATGCACCTGGCAGCTGAAGAGCTCCATGTCTTTCTCGAACTGGTTCTCCGTGGGATGTGAAAATGCGTAAACTAGGCAAGGGTCTTCGTTCATCCTGTACTCAGGATTGAAGCAAACGTATTTGCTGCCATACAGACCATTGACGCACTGATCTCCACTCTGCACAGCGAAATTTGATTTTGTATTTAAAAATCTTCTAAATGTTTCTCATGAAACTAACTATTTCGAACCTGAATTTAGTTTCTATATACTAATGAGCGAAACCACACAGCCTCGATTAGAATCTCAACCCATTTAGATTTATCTCAAGACGTATTGATATTTATGGTATATTAATCACCTGCGATATCATTTTATTTATAAAGTTGAGCTCGCCCCCGAACTTGAGCCACGCGAAGCAGAACTTAGCGTCGGGGTTGAGCAGCGCGGCGAAGAAACTGGGCAACCCGCCGTAGGGCGGGAGGCGTCGCGGGCTGCCCGCGCACAGCTTATGGGGGAGGGCGATTAATGTTCCAAATGTTCCAATTAATTTTTAAAATTACTGGTCAGATGCAACCGTGCAAAAAAAATTCAATTCCTCGGCACTATTTTTCCTGCATATGTACTCAGAAAAACAACGACTCTTTTCAGCGTATTTTCTCCTTAATGGAAAAAATGCACCATTGTGCTTGCCATGTCCGTCCGTCCGTCTGTCTGTCCGTCCGTGACTTCACTTTTTCGTCGACGAGAAAATGCGCTCCCTGTCACTCACTGCAGTGAGTAGGGTAACATGGGGCAGCGAGCCCACTGCGGGTCACGGGCCCATAGCGGGTTTCTCGCTAAGTATGGCAGATATTGGTCCGTGTTCTCTACCGCCGGTCGACAGTTTCACTGGGATGAAGTGTACGGATTTACGTTTTGCTAAGTGTTTGCGTTATTAAGTTATTTGTGAATAACTGTTTTAGCCAGATAAAAATTTTTTTGCTGCTAAATAAAACTGTTTTCGATTACTGTAGATGAAGCTTTTGAAATTACTGTGAATTATATTTTCAAAGTAATATTTATAGGGATAATTTTGAGACCAAGTTTAGACTATTAGCTTTTAAAATAAAATGTTGACACGACATAAATTGAAATGATACCTAGTGGGGGCAACGGGCCCACGCTTGTCACGGGGCAATGCGCCCATGGTGAAGTCTTGTGTTATACATCATTAGATTTGTCTCAATGACCTTTTCAAAACTATGACTAGCTTTTTGAATTACAAATTAAACTTCATATTGCATGATTTTTTGATTTGCCGCCTCAATGCAGCAGGTTTAGTTTCTAGTTGTGCGTATTTATGACCCCTTATCGAGTTATTGACTCTTGCCTTGCCAAAAAATGATTTCAGTCAACACCAATGAGCCAAAAGTTGATGAGTTTTTATGATGTTGGCTGAAATCACGATTAGGTACGAATTCTTTGCACATAATATCTGGATTATGGACGAAACTGGAACGAAGTTTTTTTCTGATCAACTAAATATATTTTATCCAGTCAAGGATAAATTTTTTCATGTCAAGGACGAATTTTTTATCGCAGGGATATATTTTTCAAGTCAAGGATATATATTGTTAGGTCAATGAAATATTTTTCTTCATGTCAGTGATTGATTTTTTAAGCCAGGAGTATATTTTTTTCAAGTTAAGGATATGATTTTTTGAGTTGTTAATAAATGAATGAATGTCATATTTTAATTACATTTTTCTTTTAACTCTAAAGTGTTGTTTTATCATTTTTAAACAAAAAATATGCATTTGTGGTAAAGGAACCAAGGGTGGGCGCCTTGCCCCAAGCCCATATGGGCCTATTGCCCCAGGGGTGGGGCAATGGGCCCATTTTGACACTTTTCACAAAATAGTGTTTCATTAAAAATTGGATAACTCTATAGGCGTCTAATTCACATCATACATTCTTCATTAGTTGTACCTTTTAAACAAAACAAAGAACCACCTCGTATCAATTAAAACTTCATCAAAAATTTAGTTTAAAACAAGTGGGGGGCTCGCTGCCCCATGTTGCCCTACATTTTTTCAATTGCCCTGAGAAGGTTGTTCAAACTCATAGCAAAATACCTGTTAATTTAGCCACAATTCATTTAGGTCACTAAATAACGGCGTAGATGTAATAGCGCACCTTGTAACTGACTATGAGTTAATAATATAACGCACGAATGGTGTAATCATTTTGTAATAACGCACCTTGTTACTGATGACAGGTTCAAGTAGTGACGCATACGTACTTAGGGTGTATGCAATAACGCACCTTATAACTGACTGGGCTTTTATTTATAACGCAATATAACGCAAGAAAGGTATAATCATTTGTAATAACGCACCTTGTAGCTGACGAAGGAATGCACCTGGCAGCTGAAAAGCTCCATGTCTTTCTCGAACTGGTTCTCCGTGGGATGTGAAAATGCGTAAACTAGGCAAGGGTCTTCGTTCATCCTGTACTCAGGATTGAAGCAAACATATTTGCTGCCGTACAGTCCATTGACGCACTGATCTCCATTCTGCACAGCAAAATTTGATTTGGTATTTAAAAATCTTCTGAATGATTCTCATGAAACTATCTCGAACCTGAATTTTGCTTCTATATACTGATGAGCGAAACCATACAGCTTCGATTAGAATCTCAACCCATTTAGATTTATATCGAGACGTATTGATATTTATGGTATATTATTCACCTGCGATATCATTTTATTTATAAAGTTGAGCTCGCCCCCGAACTTGAGCCACGCGAAGCAGAACTTAGCGTCGGGGTTGAGCAGTGCGTCGAAGAAACTGGGCAACCCGCCGTAGGGCGGCAGACGTCGCGGGCTGCCCGCGCACAGCTGATGGGGGACAGGCGGTGAATGTTCCAAATGTTCCAATTAATTTTAAAAATTACTGGTCAAATGCAACCGTGCAAAAAAAAAATAATTCCTCAGCACTATTTTTCCTGCTTATGTACTCAGAGAAACAATGACTCATTTTAGCGCATTTTCTCATTAATGGAAAAATCGCACTATTGTGCTCGCCATGTCCGTCCGTCTGTCCGTCCGTGACTTCACTTTTTCGTTAAAGAGAAAATGCGCTCTCTGTCACTCACTGCAGTGAGTACTGAGTTATATTTTCTAGGAGTGTCATTTTCTTGGAGTGTCGTCGATAAAAGAATTGTTTATCTGAAGAAAAATTTAATATATTTTATGTATGAGTAAGACTCTACATGGCTGTAAAGGAATAAGAATACAGACGTAAATTGGCTGGCAGCGAAAAAATTTGTGTATTTGAAATTATGCTTCAACTTCATGAAAGGTCCATTGAATGGCAGAATGAGAAATACTGCTATTTAAAATTCGGCCAATGGGCCTATTATTCACATTAATATTTATTACAACAATACTTTTATATAAAGTATATTGACAAATATGGTTGCTACCGTACCGGCAACTTGGACTCAAGTGAGTATATAATGAGTTTCATTTTCAGCTGACCCAATCGGGAACTAGTCCTTGCAAGCGTGTAATTTGAAACGAATTGATATTTCATGTGTCATTTTCACGCTGACTTTGATTAACTAGTTTAAAAGTACAATTTATGTTCAAATTGGATGTTCACTTTACGTGATTCTTTCCTATGCCCAGTTGACCAAAAGCGAATGATACTAAACATGTCTCTCAGTTTAAGAATAAAGGCTAAAACCAAAAAAGTTGCATAAAGCATTTTACTGAATAAAAGTCCTAGATAAATAAAACAGAACGTTTCGGGCTATGCCCATCATCAGCTAGTAAAATACATCTGGAAATACATGGAAATCAATTTTAGTAAACCAATACACTAAACTTGCAAAGAAGCCCCTATTGTGAAATATTATGTCAGATTAGAATGGCATTTCATGTCCGGCCTTTTACGATGAGACTTCAGGTGCCTTAGACCACGAGTGTCTATGAGTGAGCGAGACGCCATTAGGTAAAAAGTAAATCGTTATTGAAATTACACCCAAATAAGAAATTTTATATCATGTATTCTATGTGTTAACACTAAGCCATGTTACCTTGGCAACGTCATCAGAAAAGTTGTAGGCTGTAGACCAGGTTTTGGTGTAGCGTTTCGGTGGGGTTAACCATCCTTCCACTAGGTTATTAAATGACGTGGTGGAGGCTGAGGAGGTGGAATGGTAGTGGTGGTATGACAGAACCACTGCAACTACCGACAACACTACGATCATCACCACCACAGTCAGGATGGTTGATGATGGATGCCATCCATACATCGGGTGACATTTGGGCTTCTGCTTTACAGAAACATAGCAATTAGGCTAATTTAAAATTGTAATCAATTAAACCACCAGCAAGTTCTTGAGATACGTTTGAAAAATTTAAGTAACACGAACATATAAAACATATATATTTCATCAAAACATTACAAGACTCGTTACTTTGTAAAAAGTACGAAGATTCGCCGGTATTTGAATTTAGAAACATTACTTTGAAATCAATTACTTTTTCAAAAATCTAGTGTTATTTATTTACTGTTTCTAAACCCGTTACCGGATAAATAAGAGGCTAAATTTATCTCCTACTTTTATTTATTACCATAATTGCAAGTAAAAATGTTTACAGAATATTCGACTCCAAATGTTCCAAATAATTTTTAAAATTACTGGTCAGATGCAACCGTGCAAAAAAAATTCAATTCCTCGGCACTATTTTTCCTGCATATGTACTCAGAAAAACATGCAATGACTCTTTTTTTAGATGTCTGTTTTTGACACTCGTTAGGTTATGCGTTTAGCCGAAGTTCGACCTGCAAAACTCCTAATTTGTGGGTCACTGGATTTAAATATATAATAAAAAATCTATGAATATTAATTTTTTAGAGATTTGTGGATAAATTGTTGTGAACACTGTCTCTCACCCGTTTATCTTTCTCTCCTTGTTGACCTTCCATTCTTTATAATGTATATATAGTATTTGTCATTAAAATATTCTATTATTAGACAATTAAGTTGCACATTTCTAATAACGACGGTTATCTGAATAAGTTACAATGATCAGCGTTTTTTGATTCTCTCACCAGCAACTTTGGGCCACGTATAAAAGTCACAGGGATAAAAAATCCGCAAGAGGAACGCCGAGTTAAAGATTTTCAACCGAAGTTTCCTTACCGGAAAACATCGCTGCCACATGAGCACTGGTGCAGCGAAGCTCTTGGAAGCGCAGTCTGTTATACCAAATCCGTGCGGTCAGCGAGTCTTATTAATTTTATTGTTATTTATTTCTATAACGTGGTCACCTCATATTTAAAGCATTTCAGTGATATATTTATAATAAATATAGAAAGCGTTTTGAAGATTACCATTTACAAATTCGTTATTGATCGACAATTTGCTGATACGTGCGGTCAGCGAGTTTTATTAATTTTATTGCTTTTTATTTCCATAACGTGGCCACCTCATATTTGGTGTATTTCAGTGATATATTTTAAATAAATATAGAAAGGTTTTTGAAGATTACCGTTTAAAAATTCGTTTTTGATCAACAACTTACCGACTGAAGCAAAAAACATAAAAATACTTCATTTTGAGAACTGAACTTCGAATATATTGACTCGAAAAATTGCTGTCAAAAACGTAATATATACGGAAACGCGGTGCTAGCACTTCTCACAACACAGGAGCTTTGACCCTATTTGTATTAGAACCTTTGTTTCTGTGTTATTTAGTTATGTTGTGGACGATCTCAGGGAGCAAGTTGAAAGATGAGGTGCGTACGGGGTAATTTGTTAAATAATTACGGGGTAATTATTAATTAATTACGGGGTAATTATTAATTAATTACAGGTTAATTAATATGAGGTTGTCAGCATTTCAACTCACGACCTGAATTTGCAGCAATGCTGTTTCTTGGGCTCGCAATCTGTTCAACTTGAATCCCAACTGCAATTTATAGTTACTATTATAGTGTTAAAGCGATATTTAACAGGAACTTTCCAGTTTGATATTATACTGTTGCAAGAGAGAGACAGAGAGAGATCTATTTACGCTCACCACTTTTTGATGAGCACTACGTACAAAATATAGTACGTAACTCCTGACAATTAAGTTCAACGAACATAGATAAAATATCATAGAAACTTTAGTCATTGTTTTTCATTTTATTTTCTTTGCAAAAGCTTGAATTATTTTTACCTACGGACTATGAAGCTTTTTGAATTTAGCACGTGAGTTGAATCCAGTCATTTAATTTTCCATTTATTATCCCATCAAGTAATTCAATCAAAAAAGCTTCGAAGTTCGACGTAGTCATACCCAATTTATTATCCCATCAAGTAATTCAATCAAAAAAGCTTCAAAATTATACGTTGTCTTACAACCTCTTTGTTTCTGTCTCAGCGCCAGCCAGCGGACGGGCGTCAGTCCAGCGTCAGAGGAAGCGTGCCGAAGAAGTTAGTGATACCAGCGGCTGCCGGGGCATTACTGCTCTGTGTGGGCGCGTACTACTTTGCCACGCGGACGCCTGGTGCCGACACTCATGTCGCGCGAGATTTCGAGAAGATACTTACCGAGGTGAATTTGGACATTCTATTTTGAATAAATGTACAATTTTAGTGACATTATAGATTTTAATAACATGTTAACAAAATTTATTAACGGTCAGCTCTGCGCCACGTTGTGTTAAGTGAAGGATAATTTCCTTCAGCAGTTGGTCTCAATAGCAATAACATATTAACTCATTAGCAGTAATAATATTAATACTAGCATTTTTAACCTTTACGTACTCAAAGATATCGCATTATCACTTTTTAAAGCACTTTTAATGCAGAAAATGCATAAAATTTGTTGTACCGGTATAATTCATTAGCAGCGTATATTTCCGTGACATTTGTTCTATAAGGAATACTCGAAAGTTCAGGCGGATTTCTTCAGCTTAGTTACTATTTTTACAATACTTAGAACTTTGTAAAATAACATTCAGTTGGATAAAATCACTATTTCAGGTTTGCCGAGCCCCAAAAATCCCTATTCCTGACTACACGGGAGTGGAAACGTTCTTCGAGTTTCTGATGAACCCCGACGTAAATTTCTGCTACTCCTGGATAGAGTTTGGCGGCGAGAAACTGCCTCTCGCTTCGCAAGTAAGAAATTAAATTGTATAAATCATCAATCATTTACCAATTTATCACAATAACTGCTCAATGATACCAACACTAATTTACCACTACTTAGTCAATCAAAAATAAATGTTGTAATTGAGTTGAATTGATTTAAATTTACAGTCCCTTGCACGAACTACAACAGACTCGTAATTATAACTACTCTTAAAAGCCTGTTTTTCACTCAAGATCGGTAAATAATTAGTTCAACAACAGTAGTATGTAAATAACTTTAAAGTTCAATGCTAAATTGTGAAATTTTACTTCACTTGCGAAATTCCAACTTAATTCCTCATAGAATATAGTTAGTTCAATCGGACATACATAAATTCATCATAGAATATAGTTAGTTCAATCGGACATACATAACAAATTGTGATCGAATTCCAGAGCGAGGAAGAATGCAACGATGAAGTTCGTAAGGCGAAATTCATGTGCTTCAACGACGAGTTTGAGATGAACTTGGACCCTTGCCTGGTCTATTCTTTTGCTAAGGACTTGGACAGTCAGTTCGAGCGAGACATGCACCTCTTCAGCTGCGAGACTCATGTCTTTGATACCCAGGTAGGTCACGTCTTTGATACCCAGGTGGGTCACGTCTTTGATACCCAGGTGGGTCACGTCTTTGATACCCAGGTGGGTCATGTCTTTGATACCCAGGTGGGTCACGTCTTTGATACCCAGGTGGGTCACGTCTTTGATACCCAGGTGGGTCACTTCTTTGATACCCAGGTGGATCACGTCTTTGATACCCAGGTGGATCACGTCTTTGATACCCAGGTGGATCACGTCTTTGATACCCAGGTGGGTCACGTCTTTGATACCCAGGTGGGTCACTTCTTTGATACCCAGGTGGGTCATGTCTTTGATAACCAGGGGGGTCACGTCTTTGACACCCAGGTGGGTCACGTCTTTGATGCCCAAGTGGGTCATGTCTTTGATACCCAGGTTGGTCACGTCTTTGATACCCAGGTGGGTCATGTCTTTGATACCCAGGTTGGTCACGTCTTTGATACCCAATGCTTGATTGCTTGGAGGGAAAAAAGTTACGTTGTTTCAGATGCTGTACATAGCTTGCAAATTGAGTAACATGAATAAATAAATTCAACAATATTTCACGATTAACTGGGCGTTACAGAGCGTAGGTTTAAAAATTTCAGTTAAATTTCAAAACAATTTCATTAAGGTGCCTTACGATTGAAAGTACTCGTTCATTAATGATATGATTGCTTCATAGATTTCATGTTTAAATTAAGATGTACCTTGTACGCGGTATTCAAGTTGTAATACAAATTAACGATTTATCTGATTCATTTCTTTGGTCAGAAACCGTATTTGAATAGATTTATTTGGCTCAAACTTGATAAATGAAGCGCGTTTAATGTTTAAATAATTTTATACCGAAAATTTTTGCTCAGCACTTCTTATTTTAGTATTTCGCCCCGCATTACTTACTAGATTGAAGAAGGCGAACATGTTCAGCGATCCGAGTTCTGGTACGAACACCGTTGGGACATATCCGAGTTTCCTTACGATTTGCCTCCTGGAGAGAAGCTAAACCCTGCCAAAAATGAAGATAATTCAAATTTGCCGACGCTTCGAAGGTCTATGGACTTCATCACGACGATGCTTAACCACAAAGGTCGAGAGATCAAGTTCGTGAAAAGCGACTTGCTAGGACGGGAATGGATCCTGCTGAAACAGATCATCACATACCACGACTTTGCTGACTTCAGACAGGTAACGTGTTCGCTACCTACCGAAATATGGTTGACCATCACTTGTCTTTCTGCCAAGATCTCCCAAGGGCACATCTTTCTTGGCATGTTTTATAAATGTATGGCCTATTGAACTCAGAATATGCATAGGTAAGGCTTTTCTTATGATAAAAGCAACCTGGCTACCACTATAACTCCAAAAGGCATCGTGTTAGTTGTTAAAAAAAAGTATACAAATTTGCCGACGCTTCGAAGGTCTATGGACTTCATCACGACGATGCTTAACCACAAAGGTCGGGAGATCAAGTTCGTGAAAAGCGACTTGCTAGGACGGGAATGGATCCTGCTGAAACAAATCATCACCTACCACGACTTTGCTGACTTCAGACAGGTAATGTGTTAACTACCTACCGAAATATGGTTGACCATCACTTGTTTGAATCTAGCCAAGGACAGAGCTTTCATGACATGCTTTATAAATGGCATTCAGAATATTGAACTCAGAATATGTATAGGTAAGGCTGTTGTTATAATTTAAGCAACCTGGCTACCACTGAATCTCCAAAAAGGCACCGTGTTGGTTGTTAAAAAAATGATTTTATACCAGTATTCTGACTTAAAAATAAGCTGAATGAAAGGAAATTATGAAATCCTGCTAAATATTTGGACAATTTTTCAGATTGGACTTCGGGTGCACTTACCTCCAAAAACGAGGTCGATGTCAACCAAAGAGCGCCACGATACATATTTGCAACTCTACCAAGTAAGACTTCTCGTAAGCTTTTTGGAATTATTAGGTATTTTACTGCAAAAACTATACAAAAGATTGTTGCATGCATAGAATATTTCATTAATTCTGAATTGGCCGCACACTCGCGACAGTAAATTTTGTATTTTACATCTCCTTATTGGCAATACGTACACCTTATAACATTTTGCCAAGCATATTAACGTAATAACAGAAGTAATTAACTTTATACGCAAAGTCACCCTAATTTAGTGAGAAATAAAGTTGAAACTTAGTTTTTATGTATCAAATTTCCGATAAAGGCCTAAATTTCAATTCTTTTTACAACACTTCTCTTTAACTTCACTTCTTGTTTGGTTGTTTGTTTGTCTGTCTGTCTGTCTGTGATAAAGGCCTAAATTTCAATTCTTTTTCACAATAAATCTGATTAATCCAACTAGAAATCCAATAAATAGTTGAAATGTATTACGTACCTGAGTTCCGGGTAATTTTTGACAAATATTCCCTGACGTATCTTACAGACTTTCCAGGGGCTGTCGTGTCTAGGGTACAGGTACGTCATGAGCAGACCTATCAAGTACTACAAGGGAGGCGTGCGAGTGCCCGAGATGAACAGAACCTTCTACCCAGCCTACGAAATCAACTTCGCCAAAGATTTGAACTTTGTAAAAGATACAAAAGCTTCCACAACCGTAAATTAAGTGCGTATAGGTCGATGAGAAAACAAACATCCGACGACACGACGCTGGTATAAATGAATAAAATTAATTATGAAAAGGTGCTTTTTGTTATAAATGCCTTTAGAAATAGTAGAATCATATAGCACGTTGAAATCAACTTATCACCTTATCATGTCGCAATGAAATATGATCACTGACCTAATTAAAGCAAACGTATGTTTTATTCAATAATAAACAATATGGAAAGAAAACTTACTGATCTCACTGGCAACAAACGATCACTGAACAACTAATTAACTTCTTGACTTCATTATTTATTTAATAATAAGGTGAAGGAATAATAACTCTTGCACTTATTCAAAAATGTTCCATAGTCATGCTTGCTACATGATACCCTAAAGAACAAATGTTGCTCGGCAAAAAAAAAATGAGCGGCCGAATCAGTGTTTTCTAAAACGATGTCAATTACATTCAGAATGGAGTCCCATTTTTGGGTTTAGTAAAGGATAGTATAAAAAAATAAACCTATACCATCACTTAGCCAAGAATTCAACTAGCTCATGCAACACCATTCATCCTACCAATGTTCGTGATATGGTTCACAATTGTTAATAAATGTGCATTTTTGACCTGCAATATACTATAAATATCACAATTGTACCATTTGTACAACTTAATGGTATAAATGCACTCTAGGCAATGCTTGCTTGCTTGCTTCTGTGGTATGTTAAATTTGGTAACAAATTTAAGAAATTCTGGGAAATTCAGTAAGATAAATTATAAAAGGAAGTAAAAATTACTTTTAGATTCGCCTGTAGAGAAAACAATCTAGCAGAAATTCTTGTTATAATTTTTTAAAGACCGTCCGGATAATTATCTAGGAGTTAGCGATGAAACTGTGGTAAATTTTCTGGGCGTTCGGGGTTAAGACTGTCATAACACAAGGGCAGTCTTATAACTATAGTTTTCCAGAAATTTTAATACGAAGAGGCTTTTCTATGATAAATTATATAAATATAGTCAATTTCAGGGAATATAAGTATTCTACAGTAACCTTTACTTTTGATGACGTTTCATAGTTTTCTTTTGACAAGCTATTCTTAGAAAACTTTAGATGATGGATAACTCTTGTTTTTAAAATTACCTACGATCGGTGTACAAGTCTCAAATTTTTATCACAAACATTGATTTCACTGTTCAATGAAGTTGGAAAATTCAACAAATCCATGTAGGAGCTTCTCTAGCGAAAAACTCAGTTTGTTTGTCAATGAATAAAGATTATGATTATGAAGCTTATGATTATGATTATGATTAAAGATTATGAAGCTTCCAAGCCTCAGTTATCGACGTCTGCGTGGCCAGCGTGGGGAACTAATTGAAACATACAAGTATACTCATGGCTTATACAAGGTTCCAGAAGGATTACTAGAATCTGAAACAAGAACCAACACCAGGGGCCACAGCTATAAAATAAAAAAAACTGCGTTGTAACACATCCATGCGACAACATTTCATCTCGCTTCGAGTCACCGACATATGGAACAGCCTCCCTGATAGCATCGTTGACGCTCCGAGTATGAACGCCTTCAAGAACAGACTAGACGAAGCTATGCAGGAGCAAATGTTCAGTCTTAAAATGCCTAGCAAATTACGGACCAGGCAATAAGTCCAGCAGCTATCTCAATACGTTGCTACACATGAAAAACGTTGTTGCGAGCCAATTTACTTGACTTGACGTACGTATCGATGATACGCAGCGTATCATCGATATACGATACTAGGTACTGCACAAAGGTCAGCCATCCTACATAATATTTATTTTATTTCAGTTAGCCATGCAAATGCACGAAAGAAAATTCTTTACGAAGTTCCGTAGAAAATTGTATTCGAGGGGATACATTGTTGTTCACGTATTTATCTGGGTGCGTGGCTGTAATAAAGACATTTCATTAAATAAATACGCCCAGAAACGTGCAACAAATTATTGATTATTGTATTGTCATCTGGAGCTGAGCTTCCCTAAAAGTTTCAGACCGCTAGATAGCGGGAAAGTTGGTGAAATATCGATTACAAGATTTGATCATCACAAACAGACAGAGAGACAGAGGGACACGAAAGCGAGCCAAGAAAAACGTGGTAAAAATGAATTTTCCTCTGAATTCTCCAGAAACCTCAAGTAATACAAGAGTAGTTCAAATAAAAGTAGAAGAGTAAAAGCATGGGTATAATTTTGCTCATGACCATTTCTGCAATTACTCTAATTTTGTTTACTTACTTAAAACCTCTTTATCAGCCATGTCAGCTATACATAGGATTAAAGAACAATTAAGCCTTCTTAGGCAAATTTTACCAGAGATAAACAAGAGTAATAATACATGTCACATAATACATGCTGTCTCTTATNTAAAATGCGGCCAAGGGGCCTATTATTCACATTAATATTTATTACAACAATATTTTGTATATAAAGTATATTGTTGACAAATTTGGTTGCTACCGTACCGACAACATGGACTGAAGTGAATATATAATGAGTTTCATTTTCAGTTGACCCAATCGGGAACTCGTCCTTGCAAGCGTCTAATTTGAAACGAATTGATATTTCATGCGTCATTTTCACGCTGACTTTTAATAACTAATTTAATAGTACAATTTATGTTCAAATTGGAAGCTCACTTTACGTGATTCTTTCCTATATGCCCAGCTGATCAAAAGTGAATGATACTAAACATGTCTCTATATGTACACGGTATTGCTTTCTCCCAACAACTACGTCATCGTAGCTATAATCCCAGTGCCTATAATACACGAGAGAACAAACAATGTCTCAGATGTAGATAATATATTACACATGAACTTGCAAAGAAACCGCTATTATGAAACATTATGTCAGATTAGAATGGCATTTCATGTCCGGCCTTTTACGATGAGACTTCAGATGCCTTATACCACGAGTGTCTATTAGTGAGCGAGACGCCATTATGTAAAAACTAAATCATTATCTGAATTACACTAAAAAATTTATATCATGTATTCTATTAGTTAATATTAACCATGTTACCTTTGCAACGTCATCCGAAAAGTTGTAGGCTGCAGACCAGGTTTTGGTGTAGCGTTTCGGTGGAGTTAACCATCCTTGCACTAAGTTATTAAATGACATGGTGGAGGATGATAAGGTGGAATGGTAGTGGTGGTATGACAGAACCACTGCAACCACCGACAACACTACGACCATCACCACCACAGTCAGAATGGTTGATGATGGATGCCATCCAGACACCGGGTGACACTTGGGCTTCTGCTTTACAGAAACGAAGCAATTAGGCTAATTGAAAATTGTAATCAATTCAACCACCAGAAAATTCTTGAGATACGTTTGAAAAATTTAAGTAACACGGACATATAAAACATATATATTTCATCAAAACATTACAAGATTTGGTACTTTGT